GGCGCTAATCTTGCTGATTCTATTAGCAAAAATTGGCACAAAGAGGCTAAAGCTTCTCTTTTCCTTTTTCTCCTGTCGTCGAAAATCCACGAAAAGCCACCAAGAAATCGCTATAAAGAAAAAGTCCTGCCTATGGGAAGTTGAGAAGAAAAGAAAGGTATACCCCGCTTTGAGAAGCAGATGCACAGTAGATGTGCTGCCAGCTGAACCTGGAACAGAAGGACCGGTAGTGTAGTGGTAACACATTACTTCCGAATGCGAAGAGGACTGGTTCGATTCCCTCCCGGTCCAGAACAATTTTCGACAAAGGGCTCCGTTCGCGACCATCCCTTCCATCTTGGCACGAAACTCTCGGAAGGATACTACGGTACTAAAAAGTTCCAGCCAGCAATTTGCATAATACTCTGCTTAACTAATAAGATGATGTAAATCCTGATCGGCCCGAGCAATAATGGTGCCAGAATTCTTGGCAGCAGATATCGCTACTGGGGTGATAAAAAGCATTACTAATCTGATCAGTAGAGTGATTCTCCAGAATTCTTAGTCACGCTAATTAACATAGGCGCAAAGCTAGCTAAGGACTACAGATTCCCACTGTACCCTAGAAATCTGGATCTGAGAAACCAAGAAACAGATTACCCTGGCAATCCACCGCTTTCCATGTGATTTGCAAGAGTCACATCGTCGCTCCAAACGTCGAACTGCCACTTCTTAAGACCGAGGACACCGCAGTGCGCTCGTCCGGTATGAATACCGACTCGCATGTTCACGTTTACACCGGTCACTTCTCGCACCAGTCTACAACGTGAAAATATTTACTTAGCAAGTAACCAGTACAGGAAGTACATTTTATTAAACGGTTATAATGAGAACGTAATGGCGGAAAGATAAGGATAAGAGTATACGAATTAATGGACCGGAACATTTCTTACCTACTTTAATAATTCTTTTCATGTTTTTCACCATTATTTCGCATATTTTTTCTTTAACCTTAAATAAGGCGGAAATCGGGATGAAAGACACGATACTTTAGTGACTCCTACTTGAAAGATGCTTAATATCTGCTTAGTAATACTTCACAAAAAAAAAGAAAATTTACTAAGGAAAGTCTTTAAATATTATCAATAGGAAAAGTAAAGCCTTCATTTCTCCTTGACCAAAGTCCAGTGCTGACTCTGAGTTGTAACATAAAATATAAGACTTCCTGGTCTTAGAAACACTTCTCAATTTCCTAATTCATACAGTACTTCAATAATTTGCCTTGCTGATTACTGAATCCTAGTAAATCATTTCATCCCTACCATGTTGAATAATGAATCTAGGAACAAAACTGAATTTTAACAGAGCAAAGAGAAATCCACATTAAATTTCCAAGCATCAGATGAAAATCCCTGACAGTGACGTATTCATCTATTTTTCCGCGAGTGTAGAAAAAAGAAGTCTGGAAACGGCTTTATTGGATTATGTGGATTAGAGACGCGCAAAATAGTGAAGAATGGAGAAATAAATCGACAATTTGCACTAAGTGATGAGAAATGAGACGATGGAACAACGATTAATTAAGGTATCAAAGTACTTAGGGAATGGGAAAAAAAAGATTATTCTCAGAAGCATTTGATGGATATTTCTAAGTGTACAGCTTACTTGATTGCCTCTATCATTTCTAGTCCCATTTCAACAGCACACTGTGCATGATTTGGCCTGTATTCGGGCAAGCCGGATACGCAATAATAGCAATCGCCAAGGATTTTGATCCTCATGCAATGGTTGCTGTACGCCAAATGATCGAAGCGTGCGAAGAGATTGTTGAGCAGTTGCACCAGCTCTTCGGCATTGCATTCCGATGCCAAATTTGTAAAGCCGCATATATCCGCGAACAGGATACTGAAATTTGTTCGCCCCCTTATTGGTACAGTTTCAGCTTTGAGTCAATGAATACGGATTTCAGTGCATCTCACGAAATCAGAAATTTTGCTTTTAAGATTATTACCATCACTACCACTAATAACTATGCAATGATATTTAATCACTTTTTTTTAAATTTTTTTTTACATTGATATCCATACTGATATAAACGTACATTCATACACGTGCACACACACACACACACACACACACACACATACATACATACATACATATATATACACATACATACATACATACATACATACATACATACATACATATATACACACATAAATGCATACATAC